GTCGAAAGAAAGGAAGGAAGGAAGGAAGGAAGGAAGGAAGGAAGGAAATGACAAAATTAAAAATTCTTCAAAAAAAAAAAAAAACAGTAAACCTGAGGTGCTGACATAATCCTAATAAGATTAGTAATATTTTTCTTATAATTCATGATGCTAGAAAGATATAAAAGTATCATTTCTAAATGTTAACACAGTCTGCCTTCTAGCTAACTAAGAGGAGTTGACACCAATTTTATTAACTTGATCCGATTTTAAAAGCAGGTAAAGGCATCCACATAGTCCTATTACATCTGTACAGCAGAAAAAATTACAGGGAAAATACAGCTCATCACTCTACACTTAATCGAGAGCCAGTCTCTTCTATTACAAAAACTGTGTGTGTGTGTAAAACAGAAATAAGCATTTGATGACATATTGTAGCTTTCTTGTGTTAACATATTTTATTACAGTAACATATCTGAGTAATTGAAATAACTTCGCCATACAGACATCACATGCTGGAGCATGACAATGCAATGCTAATTGCACACTGTGTTGACATTTCAAGCATATTTTCTATAACATCTGCATTCATATACAGGTAGTAAAGCACACGGGGATAATTTGAGTCATGATTCATGTTAGCAAATGTATTGTTTTCAAGCTAATCCTCAAAGCTGGGATCTTCAGCAAACCCATTAACATTCAGATGTTGTAGTGTGTACAGTAGTGATTGTGAGAACCAAACAACTCAGGACCGAGAATTACTGTTAGCCTTTGAAACAGAAATAACAATGTTATTGGATTACTTTTGTAAGGTGAGCCTTCATACTAATTTAGGAACTATTAGTCTATTGATTGAAGTCTTTACCAATAGCTTCTAGTTAATAGGAGCGGATAAAATCATAGCTTGATGTAACTCTTCTTAGATAATACAGCCCAGTTAATGAAGAATGTGTTACCTGAGTAATCTTCCTTCAATATACCGTATATATGACAAGGCAAAACCCCCACAAAAACACCCAAAAAGGCCAGCAATCTCAAAATGCCGTAAATGTTAATATACCAATTTTGGTTGGAAGACTGTTATCTGTAGCCAGGCATCTTGCTTCATGTAAATCCTGACAACTGATGCTCTTTCAGGAATAAAGACTGCAACCTGGTTCTTAAAAAATCTCAGCAGACAAACTGAACTTGATCCAAAAATATATTTTATCTATGTTTTATTGTCACTAAGGCGAAGCCACACCACCATAAAATGCAAGAAAACCAATGTTTAAAAGGCAGAAATTCTCTGTTCTTGACTTTGTCTCTACAAAGGTCGAACTTTCATAAGGAACTCTGAACAAAAAAAAAAAAAAAAGTAACGAATGGAAGAGAAAACAGTAGTATAAGGAATAAAATTTTCATCATCATGAATAATTTCTACATTCATAATTTATTTATAAGCCACGATTAACCCATAATATTTAGATAACTAATACAGTGCTTGAAAACTTAAATTTCTTAATTGAAGAAGCAAAATAAATTTTCAAAAATCATGAGGTCACAAGAACATAATTATACATTTATCCTTTTTATTGTTTAATCCTTAGAACAAATTAAATTAAGACTCAGAATGTAAATTAGCAATATAGAACAGGAAAGGAAAGTACGCTCTCTTCACTCTTGAGGTATTTGCTATTATTTTGTTAAGAATATACATTTAAGAATTAATCAGCACTTTATATAAAATCAAATAATGGTGGTTATGCAGCTGTCAACTTTTTGGTACTTTTGAAAAAGTCAAGTAATATATGTTTAGCATGAAAGAGAATTTTTAAACAGAATTACTATGACATGCTAAAGAATAAAGTATTTGAATTAATTGATATTAAAACATCTGAAATTCCAAGTTAGATAACATCCCATACTCATATACTTTATGAATAAAGAGAGTTAAAATGAAATCATTTTCTTTATGTCTAGAAGCCACTATTATCTAGTCATGTATACAGATGAGATGAAAAGAAGTTTGGGTTTTTGGTTTGGGCTTGGTTTGGTTTTAGTTTTAGGGAGGAGGAAGTTGGGGCTTTTTGTGCACTTACACCTAATTTGGAGATACGATAACATTTATATAGATCTTTACATCTTACAGATAACCAAGGATATTCAACTTTGTCCTAAGCAGAGGTTACCACTTGCTTATTTTCATATTTGAGCCTGTTACACTTCATTTTTATATGTGCAATGTAAATTACATGCTAATAAAGTAAAATTTGTTGCTAGTAAAATGAATCAAAATATGAATCACAAAAGTTCCTTCAACAGTCTACACGGAGCAAATGGTAATTAATCTACAATGATGGGTTATTCAAATGAAAATTAACTTGCACTCTAAGACTATGTGTGTAGATGATAATTTAAAATAAAAAAGGTTGCTTCTGAAGCAAGTCTGGAAATTACTCCAATCTCATGTAGTTCCAAAAAGCATTCCAATCCTTATATTTACTGAATGAGCAAGGATATGTTTTTCTGTAACAGGATGAAAATATGCTTTCATTGTCAGCAAAATGAATTGCCTATTAAGGCAAAACCTCTGGTAAGATTAAATAGCTTCTCGGGTTTTTAAGGTAAAGCTCTTTTCTCAGAGTCAGATCTGTAGTATCACTTATGCTGATTATGTCTTAACCCTATGAATACAAAATTTATCATAAAAAATAAGGAATATTTGTACCTCTAGAGCGTTTCTATGGCTCTCGGGATTTCCGTGGTTTGTTGTATCTTCTCTTCTTAGCTGCTCCTTAGGGAACAGCCCTTCAGCAGACACAATCCACAGCACACCAGGAAGGATATGTAAAGAATGAGCACATGGCTTTTATTCCCGACATCATCACGTCAAAGCAGACCAGTGCCGATAGGTAAATGTGGGCCATGAAACTCTGGTACTCAAAAAGAAGGCCAGGCTGGAGTCGCTAGCGAAATGAAATTTATCTCCCATCCATCGAGTAGTTTCATAAATTTACATTTACCCTTAGTCTTAAAATTTTCGTTTGTGTGGGCTTTTTTTTTTTTTTGGCCTGGCGGGAGGGGTCCTCCCAACGTTGGCCATTCTTTTTTGTTTTATACAAAAAATTCACTCTTGGGTAACTAACGACAAAAGTTCCAAAGTGTACGCTACCAAATTAAGTGACCATGTGTGATTTTGGTTTATGCAAATGAGCGGCTAACAAACTGGGTTGCCACCCCCCCACCCCCCCCCCCGCTTAACATTGTGCCTCCTTTGTCGCCAAACCATGAACTTTCAAAACGCCGAGTAAAAACTCTTCGTGAAAAGAGTTCATGAAAAAAGTTCTTTATGAATTTACTTATTCAATCATGATAAGAACAAGCACATCTTATCATGAGGAGTTTTTATGATGAGACTGTTCTTATGGTGATTTGGTAATATTCCAGTTTTCACACTATTTATTCTAAGAGATCTACGACATGTTGAAGAATTCACAAAATGGAGTCATAGCTGTCCTTCATCCTGACGCCCTTGTCCTTTTCTTCCACAGTGATAATAGCAAACTTTGCTTGGGGATGCCTCCCACAGGGAAAAGTACATGGTGAAATGTGCATGTTGTACAGTGGTAAAGTACTTAGCAATAACTGAGGAAATTCTGAACTATGTCAGCCCAACGAACTCAGAAGATGGCTTCAAAAGCATCATACATCTAACTTACAACTTGCAAATTATCCGGGTTGTGAGTTAATTCAGGCCAATTTGCCCCTTTTAGTCCTTCTCCTGGGGGGCCATTTCTTGCTTTACTGGAAATAACTTTTAGGACAATAAAAGCAGGTATAAGGTTCGTGAATTTTGAAAATAATTAGCATCTGTGAGAAAATAAAACTGTTGGGGGGGGAGTTTAAATAAATTCTAAAAAGTGAATTGTGCACTTTCTGAGAATCTCAATATCGGCAATTGGGTTATTTATATTTTTTATGGAAAACTGAAAGCTCATTCATTGTTTGGAAAACTGTATTAAAGAAAAGGAAGTATTGCTATGAAACTTATGCATAATAACTTCAGATGGGAAGAAAATGTTGTGCTCTATTTTGATTTAAAAAAAAACCCTCAAGTGGTTTTTTTTAATTACATCAGTGATTAGTAATATGTAATAACTGGAATCTACTATTCACAATCATTTGAATTTTTTGCATGACACAAATAAGAAACTACTGTATTAGACTCTGCACTGTTAAGTTGGTCTCCACCTTGGGTGATTTATAGAGTAGGTGTGAATCATTCTAACTTCAAAATGAGTTTGAAATGTCAGCTCCTCTATTTCTGCAAAACAGAAGAAATTGTATTTCACTGTAAGTTAAACCCATCAAAGATTTACTTTCTGAATAAAAACAAGTGATATGAGACACGAAAACCATGCAGAAAGATTTTTATCCTTACTGTCATTTTCTGTTCCTTTATGTGACTCCCTGTGAAAAGTAAGAATGAAAACAATTTTGCATTTTATTTTTAACACATGGGATTGTCTTTCATTTTAGATCATAAGATGATCTTACCAGGCCTTTACCGAAACTGCATATTTTTACAAGTTGCTAAATTTCCACATAAAGGAATAAAAATGTTGGGGAGTCAGGTCATGAAATTTCTAGTACTTTCTAGTGTGCTGTTGTAATGATACACCCATTTTATACTTAATCCTATCATCAAGCAACACCAGGCCTCTACAGATTTTTGTTTCATTTTAAACGGCTACTGTAGATGAGAATTAATAAGGTATTATACTACTAACCCCTTTTTGAGTCAAAAGGCATGATATCTAGAAAATAATTTAACACTGTAATGGGATCTTCAAGATCAATTCTGTTTTATATACTCTGCAACAAAAATAACATTTCTAGTAGGAAGGAATTAATTATAAACCTAGCAAATTCTAGACATTCACATATTTGTGTAAACAATTTTAACATGGTTTATTTCATTTCCAGAAAGGGTAAGTCTTATATTCAGTTTTCTGCTAATTTTTTTTCATTCATCATAATATTAATAAATATATACGTTATTTGAGCGCATGTGTGTACATATTATCACACATACATATATGTCTTATATACATAAACAGCACTTAATGGTCACTTTCTCTGCATGTTCAACTTGGGGGGGGGAAATCATTTGCTATTATGCATAACTCATGGCGATCTTCCTGTTTCACAAATGGCCATATCGGGATGTAAACAAAAGATTGGAGCGAGTCATTCCAGGTGAATTGTATTTCAAGTTGTAGGATGGTGTTCTCATGAAGAATGGGGTACTCCCTGGTAGCAAATACCTAAAAATGATAGTTCATAAATTAGATTTTGGTAAGTAAATTATTATTAACATTCCCCCACTACAGGGTTATAGGGTTATACATTTACATATTTTATATGAGAAATGTAACTCATTTAAAAAGACTCCTTCCCCCAGACTGTGAAGGAGCAGGGGAGAGGGTCATAGAGCATCACCCAGAGAGTGGAATATAGACAGACATAACATATAATAACAAAATGGTGTCCCATAAAGAGCCACTGTACGTGAAATTGTTTATGTGGCTAATGTTAATTCAGAATTCATCATTGGTCCCTTTCAGTAATGTGTGGGCCCAGTCAAATATTTCTTAAAAACATGTGATATGAGAAGTTGACTAGCCGTATTGACAGTAATTGTTTCAAAGATGTTGTAAGCACTGATTATAACTTAATAATATGTCATTGACGCATAATGACTATAGGTGATCCTGTAGAAAAAGTTAAAGATTGACATTTCAAGGAGGCGTCTGTGGCTCAAAGGAGTAAGGCGCCGGCCCCATATGCCAGAGATGGTGGGTTCAAACCCAGCCCCGGCCAAAACCACACACACACAAAAGAAGATTGACATTTCTAACTAGGTTATAAATTTTAAATCCTCAGACCATCCATTGCTTACAAAACATCAAAAGCAATCATGATTACTGGTAACATGTAACCCATGAAGCCAAATGTATTTCAAAATATGTTTTTGTTCCAGATTTTAGAAAGATAATACAGTGCACATACTATATAATACCTCTGTCAAGGCCTTAGAGCAGTATCTTGTAAACCATTAATGTATAAATATATAAATGTATCAATATTCACAATACATTAGAAAGATAAAGGCTACAAACAACTTTTTGTCGATTCAGGTTAGATTTGCAAACAAATGAGTTAACATTCTTTCAGTTGTCAAAGCTCTGAAAATTAGGGACTGTAAATAAAACATTGTGTACCTGTATAATATGTTTTCCTGTGAAGAACTTTGATTAGCATTAGTCTAGCCTGACATAAGTCTACAGAGAAATGGTCAAAAAAATCCACATGAACAAATAAATAACATCCTCGTACAGATGAAAAGAACATTCTATAAAGTCAGGACCAAGATATTTATGAGGAATTTCCTAGAGCAGATATAGTAATAGAAGGAAATGTGTCATTATCAGTAGACTTGGAAAAGGAGATAGTGGTAGGCCATCAGATCATATATTTTATTTTATTTACTGGACATTAAGACCCTCCAGTAACAATACTGTTTTTCCAATGGACACATGAAGAACTTGAGTTCCATGGGCACTGCTAACTATTCTATGCCAAATAATACAGATAACTATGACCCTTCCATGTCAATGGAAAATGGCATTTATAGTTGTGTTGAATTTTGTAGAGAGAAAATAAATTCTCTATAATCAAACCACGTACAGCACTCAGATTAAAATAAGAAAATTTTCCATACTATTCATAAATATCATTTCATCGTGAATTATCAGCTAATATTCTCTAAATCTATTACCTAATGTCATAAACTATAAATAATTGCTCAAATCATTAAGTTAACAGACCAGTAAAATAATATACAACAAACCAAATTAAATCAAAATAGCATAATGGGTGATGAATAATGAAACAATTGATTTCTCACATCACAGGTTATATAAATTATTTTCTTAATATCACTTGGGTAATTTATATGAATTAATTATTATGTCAAGAGTTGGCAGAATCATGATTAATCCGGCATCTTCTGCCGTGGAAAGGCCATCCTTCCCTAGAGGGCAAAAGTGCAAAAGAAATTAAGGTGTTTGATCAAAACTCACTATTCTGTAGTAGCTGAGAGTCATTCTACCTTCTGGTGAAGACACATTCTTTTGCATTGATAATTACACAGTAAACAGTAACTTCCATCAAATTTATTTCAAAACATTTCCAGGCAATAGTCATTATTGACATTTCAGTAACATTCACATAAACTTCTGAGATAAAGATCTCCATTTTGTATAAGAAAAAGATAAAAGTATAAAAGGACCACCACTAACTTACACTATTTTACTGAACATACATTTACATGGTGTTTTCCATGTGCACAGCACCACTCTAATCGCTTAAAAAATACTAACTCATTTAGTTCTCATAACAATTCCATCTTGTATATATTATTGTTAGCTCCATCTTACAGACAAAGAAACTTCATGAGGCAGATGGGCTCAAGTGCCTTGCCCAGGGTCACGTAGTTACTAATTGGCAGAGCTGGAATTCAGATCCATGGAGGCTGGCATGGGAGCCGTGCCCCACCAACCACGCTACCCTGTCGTGACAATTTCACACGATTGTCATTGTCCGTGAGTCTCAATTTCACAACTAATGGCTACTGTTTTTATATTTGTCTTTTTAGAAATATGAAGCATAAAATAGTCTCTAAAGTGAAAAAATATACATGCCACCAACCTAAGCTTTTTAACAGAAGCAGAAAAAGTCAAGATGAAACTTTCTTAAGATTTTACAAGAAAAGGAAGTTTGGCATGAACTAAAAAAAGTATATGAACTTACACTGGAAGCAACACTTGCTTCCTTAATGCAAGTGCTGTGCGTACGTACTTTCAAGGGTTCCCGGGAAATTCAATGGAGTATTTGCCTTCATATCTCTTGGGGGGTCGTATACTAGCTGAACAACAGAGATTATTTTTGAAATGTTCTTTGAAATGTAGTTAAATAATCTAATTTTTTTAAGCAGGAAGACTATCTCAAGGAAGTAGACTTATAGATTATGTCTAAAGAATAAAGCACCAAAAAATGTGAAAAGTTTACAGCTTTCTATTTTTTTTCTAGCTTATTCTTACTGTAGAGATATAGCTAACTCATAGGCAACTCATGCCAAGGAGAAACAGCTCTGCCTACACTCACTCCGTTTGCTTCCCTCGCAGAACTTCAGTCCCCATCCCTGCGGCTGGGTGCGGACGTCCTCACACATCCACCACACAGACATACAACACACACTCGTGTGACTCCCGATTGATGCAGAATCGCTTAGTCTTTTATGGACCAACTTACTGCTGTCTAGAAAAGAAGACTGGTAGAAAATTAACTTCGAGAAACAAGCTACCCCACCTTCAAGGATCTTCTTGGAGTAAGACCAGGACCCCTGATCCTCCCTGAATAAACTCAGGTTCACAGTTTGGGGGATCAGGTAAATGAAGATCAACAGCATATCTGTTCTGTGTGTTTAAAAATATTTGTTGTAGTAAAATGTATAACATGAAATTGACTAGTTTTTGACCACTTCTAGGTGTACAATTCAGTGACATTAAGTACATCCAGTGTTACGTAACCATCCCCACTATACAGACCTCCTTCCTCATCCCAAACAGAAACTCTTCACTCATTCAATACTGAATTCCCATTCCCCTCCTTCCTACCCCTGGGAACACCTATTTCTGTCTCTATAAATTTGTCCATACTATATACCTCATGTAAATGAAACCACGATATTTGTCCATTTGTGTCTGGCTTATTTAGCATCCTTTCAAGCTCCATCCATACTGAAGCATATATCCCAATTTCAGTCTGTATTATACTAATACTTTGTTAGACACGCATACCATATTTTGTTATCCATTCACCTGCTGATGAAGACTTGGGTTTTTCTTCTATCCTTTGGCTATCATAAATAATGCAGCTATGAACACTGGTGTACAAGTACTTGTTTGAGTCCTTGTTTTTAATTATTTTGGGTATGTACCTAGGAGTAGAATTGCAGGGTCATACTGTAACTCTCTATTTAACTTTTTGAGAAATTGGCAAACTGGTTTTCACCATGACCGCACTATTTTTCATTCTCACCAGCAATATACGAAGGCTCCAGATTTTTCTTATCCTTGCCAACACTCATTATTCTCTATTTTTTTTTGCTAATAGCCATCCTGGAGATGTTCGCTGTTCTGTGGTTTTTGCTTTGACTTTAAGAAGGGGAGAGCCCTGATTTGAAGTTTCACATTTGCATATGCTACCAAGATGGATTTGGACAACCTTTTGGGGCCTCAGTCTTCTCCATTGGGAAAGAGTCCACTAGTTTCTGCCATGTCTGGCTCACAGTGTATGGAGTCAGTGAAATGCAGCATGTCCCCAGAGCTGCCCCTAGTCACCATGCACAGCGAGAATGGGAAATTGTAGCTAAATGTGCCTTTATTTACAAAATATTCATTACAAAATTTTACTAAGAGGTGGCCAACACATAGAATATATTTTACAAATATTTTATAAAATTTTATAACGAATATTTCGTGAATAAAGGTAGACTTAGCCACAATTTCCCATGTTCTCTTTGGGGACACTTGTACTATTTTTAATATAAGTACTATAAATGTCAGCTTTATTGGAAAGACTATCCCTGTTCTGAAATAAATACAGAGACCCATCCAAGACCATAAATAGCACCATGTATTTAACTCTTCATTATTAAAACTTTTTAATTGTGAAGTATAAGACTCACTCAGAAAAGGGGGTAAAACATAAATGACCAAGTTAATGAGTATTCTAAAGCGATTTCTGATATCACTACCACCCACGTGAGGTAACAGAACATTCCAGCATCCCAGAACTCCGTGTTATAGTATATTACTTCCCCATGTTCACCACTATTCTGATCTTCGTGATAATTAATTCTTTGCTTACCATCCAAGTACACATTCTTTAACATTAGAATTTAGTTTTGCCTGGTTTTGTTTTTTTAATAAATGGACAGCGTAGGGGTACAGCCTCCCACGGTCTTACTGGATGTTTTAGGGTACATAAGCTAATCAGTAAAGATGAGCGGGGTTGCTGTGCCAGATTGAGCCTCAACCTCCCTTCATACCGAACATTCCGTCTGCGGTTTCCTGTCTCTGCATCAACGAACAGAGGGCTTCGGGGAACCGTAACAGGACAGAATATCTCTTCCTTTGTATGTGGCTTCTGCTCAGCTTTATGTTTGAGACTCATCCATGTTGCTATGTGTGAGGGCAGT